TCGAGGATAGTGATGAAGAAGAAGAAACTATTGCTGATGCCCTGAAAAAGAAGCAGCGTTACCAGGAATTAGATGAAAATGCTAGAGCAGCGAGGGAAGCTGAAGAAAAAGAGAGAGAAATGAAGGACGCTCATGACCTGTGTCACAACTAGCATTTTAGCTAGGATATCCTATTCCTATGTAACCATTCAACTATTGTAAATCTTATACTCAATGTAGATCTCACCTAATGCTCATATAGATTCATCAATAATGTTCATCAAAGAGTCTGAAAACCCTAAGAATCCTAGTTTGAGTCCATATTGGACTAGGAGGTCCTTATTGGGCCTAATGGACCAATAAGCACTCAATTCAACCTTATGGGGCTTAGAAGCCCTAATTGGTTCCAAATTGGACCCAATTCATAAATCTAAAACATTTTGGACCATTTGGGACTAGAATGATTCTCTCTAACCCTAATGGGCCTTATTGGGCCATAACTAATCCAATTAACCATTAGTGAGCTGTAAGCACATTCTTTTATTCTATTTGGGCTGTAATAAGGAGCCCATTGGGCCGAGAAATCATGAGTGAGCCTTATAGTTTCGAACCAAGGCTAGAATTGGACCCAAACTACCCTACCCATTCTCCTAGCCCATACTTTCGGGCCATGAGTAAAAAATAGAAAAAAATGAAAGGAAATGGAGGTTGACTTTGGAGGTGCCACCTCCATATTACACATCAAATAACAAGACAATTGCATCTCGTACTTCCATGCAAGCTTGTATGATCCAACATACATCAAGGTTTCTCTCTCTCCTCTCTTCTTGATATTTCAGCCAAGAGCCACAACACACACGCATAAACTCTTCAAACATTTTCCTCAATCACTCTCAGGTATTTTGTTCCTTCTCCCTCCAAAATCTAGAAGTTTTAGCTTTTGTATCAAGAGGATTTTCACAAGAAAATTATCATCTCTTGGTAAGTTTGTACATATCCAATAATTATATAACTCTTTTCTCATGTTAGATCATTTCTCTTAAACATTTTGGTGATCATACTCTTAGAAAACCCTCATAAGCTCGAGATCTGGATCAAAGGTGTGCTAGGACAAAAAAAAATCTTTCCATTTCTTCTTCAAAACTGAAACATCAAAGCAAAGGTGAGTTCATACCCCCTTGTTTTCGGTTTTTATATGATTTTTAGGGAGAATACAAGAAAAATGTGTAGATCTATGTGTTATATGCATGTTTTGTGTTAATTCTTAGCTTATTTGGTAAAAACTTGTAAGATCTTAGCAAATCTCGAAAATTTCAAGTATTATATAGCAAAGTTCTATAAACTATGACACTATATACATCCAACTATCAAGTTAAAACTATTAAATGTTTAAGATACAAAGATTTCAATAAAAACCTTGTTAATGGTCAAAACTGTCAAGAAAACAAAAGATAAGGGTAAGAAGGGAAAATTATTTTTTAAAAGGGACGAAAAAGTTCCTACAAGTATAAAAATGTGTTTTTTTATGCTAAACATACTTTTAAAAGGGCCAAAAATGCAAATTTTAGCTTAATGGCCCAAAACTTTAGGCCTCACAGTTATGGGCCCAATTTGCGAAAAAATGAGTTTTGGGGTTTAAAAATGTCATTTTTTCAAAGTTTGAGTCATAATTGTAAATAAACCAAATCTAGAGGTGAAAATATCATTTATTTTCAAATTGAACCAAAAATGTAAAGTTTTCCAAAAATGGGGCCGAAAGTGTAAACTTTTACAAATAAGGGGCTGAAAATGAACTTTTCTATAAAATAGGGTTCTAAATGTAAAAATATAACTTTTTGGGTTAAAATCATAAATTTATAGACATTTGGGATAAAATTGCAAATTTTATAAACTATGGACTAAAGTGTCATTTTTACAAAAATTTGGGCCTAATTTAAAAACTTGAGAATTGTTAGCCAAAAACTTCGTTTTTACAAAAAGAGGATGTCTATCGCCAATCTATCGAACTTTTAGTCAAAACAAACAACGGAATAAAACAAAACGAATGGAATATACCGATAACCAATTTTTGGGCTTAATATTCATGATGCTTGGCCGTTGGGCCCTAAGGGCCCAATTAAGTGTATCTTGAGCCCAATGTGTTCCAATGCATGTTAATTTGGGCCTAATTTATGGACTACATGTTTATTGGACCTTTGTGGCTCATTTTGATGTCTATTGGGCCTAAATTACCCTTTTATTATGTTATCGGACCTTGTGGCCCATTTACATGTTAATCGGGCTTGGAATGAAGATTCACAAACTTGTAAATCATAAATATACCTCTACATAGTTTATGAATTTGTATACTTACCTTTGGAATTGAAAAATCTATAATTTACATGTAAAACATTAAACATGGGAAAAATCTTATCAAACGGAAACTTTGAGAATTTAGTGAGACTTGTCGGTTAGCACCATTGAGTGTACAGTCGTAGCCTCTAGTTATAATCAGAGTTTCCTGGATGGAAAGCGGGAGTTTGTGTATAGATCTGTACGGGGTGACTCCCCATGCCTTAGCTATTCGCTACAGCTAGACTAGGCCAGTCTAGGGCGACAACATCCTTAGCAAGACCGACATTTGGAAAAATTCCAAGACAGGCGACCTAGTCAATATCATGCATGGTTATAACGGCTCATATATAGATTCGATACCAAAATATAACCTTTTGAAGATAAGTTCTTTAATTATATCAATACAAAATGACTTATCTAACGATACAAAAATCTAAACGATGTATTAAAACAAAAAATATCGGATTTTCTGGGGAGATTATTCATATATACAGTTATCATTTATTCAAAATCCAAAGAACCTTAACTATACTCAGACAAGTTTTTAACTGCTAAATTCACACATGCATTTATACTTGATTTTCACATAATTTTTAGACATTTTACAAAAAATATCGGATTTTCTGGGTTTTTATGAAACATACAAAGACTTTTACTTAAACATACTTATGAACTCACCAACATTATATATGTTGATCGTTTTCAAAATAACTTGTATTCTTAGTTAATCATTAAGCCGGAAGACTTGCAAGTGTGTAAGGTTTCGTTTATGTAATAACACTTATCACACTTCTAAAAATGTGAACTTATGTATTTTAACAATGTACTTGACATGAACAATGCAAGTTGTATTATGTAATGTTGGTAATGATCGTGTTATGATTCATGTATATTCATTGTGATGATTATTCAATTGTTAGTCACACGAGCCCCCGTACATTCCCCCCATAACCATATCACGTAAATCATAAAACATGAGGAGCGGTACGATCACGCCTTCGCCTTGCCACGATCTCCAGAAGTACCTGAAACAATACACTGAAGTGAAAGCCCGAAAGCTTAGTGAGTTACCCCCAAAATACCAACCACACATAAACATGCTCATAACATATCACAAATAGAACAGTCATGCACATCGGGTATACTGTGTGACTATGTCACACCCCCAAACCAGAACGACGAAAACGTTCAGGGGCGGAGGACGTCATATTCAGTATCATAACAGTTCATAGTAACGAAAGTACACACCACCATATATATAAAAGTTTCAAAATGTTTACATAATTGTATTTGTTACATGTTCAAAAGATAAATACATAAACATCTTTCAAAAGAAGTAATTAACATCAGAGCGTAAATCCCCAAAAGTTGGTTTCCAAACCTGCTTAGCGGTTCCCTGAGAATACAAGTTATTTCAAAGAAAAAGTATCAACAATTAAGTTGGTGAGTTCATAAGCGGTTTTGTGAAATGTATGCCATTCCAAAGTTCGTTTGTTTTCCAAGAAAATCCCTTATTTTCTTATAAAAGTATGAAATGCATATTAATGTTTGTGTTGTGAATTGTAAACAATTACAGTAGGAAAATCCCTTATTTGCCTATTAGTTGATTGTTTCAGGTACATGAAAATCCCTTATCTTCCTAAAGTAACAGGCAGTCTCTAAGACCAAAAATCGCAAGCAACTGACCTGCTTAAAGGTTGAGGCATAGTTTTATATAATAAAGCTATAAGAAGTTTGCACTTGTTAGATGAAGAATAGTTTTAATAGCTACTCATTCATAAAATCAGTCTACCATAATAATTTTCTATCCAATGAGTTTTATAACCATATTAAACATAATATGCTTATGGTGACGGTCTTCAGGTATCGAAACGTTTATGACAAACTGTCACACAAAGGACTGTAGCTAATAGTCAGGGTGTGGGATCATGATTTCCCGTATAGATCTATACACATTTGACACGCTCTCCCAAACGAGAGACTCTGGTTATAATAGACAGGACTTTAAGTTGTACCTTTTCGCAAAATGGTAGTGTTGAAGATGTAAATGTCTCACGGGTTCTCAACTAAGTCTGTATTAAGGTGATAGTTTTGTATACAATGTTTATTCTCTCTTACAATGTTTGACTAAGCATAAATCTTAAGTCCTTGAATGCATAAAATGGTTTAACAAGGATGGCTACCCTGAATACTATGCATTTTGTATAAACCTAGTGCATGCAAGATATAACAAGAGTTTTCACGTTTTCAATTGGGATTAACCCGGTGTTTACTTGTGTTCTCCCTTGAAATATATTAAAAGTACATTATAAAGTATGTGAAGGTGTATAAAGGCGGTATGAGCTTATTTGATTGAAGTGGTTGCTTTGAAGTAGTCGAGAGAAGAATCGAGTAGAACTTCGTAATAGAAGTAAAGAACCTTGAGCTTCCTCTAATGGGACACATGGGTAGTCAGACTTGATACACTTTGCAACATGTATATCTCCTAATGCAAGATCAACTTTATTTATCTAACTGGAAGGCCATATGAACCTCTTTAGTTTATCCTTAAAAAGAAAAACATAAATTAAATTATTAGATTATTTATTTATTTTGACAAAAGTAGTTGAAAAATATTAAATACCTGACCAAAGCCAGCATTTACAAAATCATTCATAAATGTAGCTGCCAGGTTTTGCCTGGCTGAATCAACACTTGCACCAACACTTGCCCACCACCACCACTGCTACCATGACTTGCTTCGGTTGCCGGAGCAACCGCTTCGCCGGCATATGCAGGAGGTTGCTGGGGGAAACCACCACCATATGAGCCTCTATATGATGCTGCCCATACGCTGCGTGGCCATACCTAGCAGCAGCACCACCATAAGGAGGGCGCTGACCGCTTGCATCCGCCTGCCCATAACCACTATAAGGAGCTGGTTGGGCATAGCCACCACCTTGTGGGGAAGAATTAGGAGACTGGTGTGGCGGCGGCTGTCCATAATCCGGTGGAGTAACAGGAGGCTTTTGTCCATATCCTCCATATCCAGAAGGCGGCTGAGCCCCATAGGAACGATATGAAGCAGCAGCAAGCGGTGGAGGCTGAACATAACCAGATTGAACTCCAGATGCAGGTGGTGGAGATTGAGCAGTAGTGGTATCACCTTGTCCACCATATAAACTAGTTTGACCATCAGAGGTTTCATTATATCCAGCTATCGGATTACCATAGCATTGTTGATCGTATCCTTGCGCATAACCAGATTGCGAGTACCCACCATACCCATCTTAACCGTAACCTTGACCCTACTGACTGTACCTATAACCAGACCTATCTACTACCGCCACGGTGATGCTAGGTGGTTGGGTTTGGGGAGCTTTGCTGGTTATAGTAATCATAACCACCACCAGCAGCAGCTCTCGGTGCGGTTTGCTGACCGGACTGGTCCCAGCCAGCGGCATATCCGGCTGAACGAGGGTAGCCACCGTATTGGGGTTGGGAGTATTGAGCGGGCTGGCCGTTGTATGCACCTAGTTGCATGTAACCATATCCATTCTGTTGCATTTGGGGTGCGGGTGGGGCCCAGGTGTTTGTCTGGGGTCGAGTATTGTAGCCTTGCTGTGAATATCCTCCTCCACTGCTTCCCATTGAGTTTCTTGGACGATTCTGCATATGATAAAAGTCGTCATAATCTCAAATTAGCCAAAAAAACATTTCTATAAACATGCATGGTAAAAATTAATTAACAAAGCATATACTAGTAATTTTATACATTCATATAGATACGGTACGCAGAAAAAAATAGCATGGAAAGCAATTACATGTTACGAGTAATCAATAGCACAAATATTATTAGTATTACATTATTAAGGCACATTAATTAATATTGATGATCATATATCAAGACGGGGTTTAATGGCCTACATACCGTACTGGTCGGGTGGTATTACCGAGCTTACTCCAGCAGTAGAACACAAGTGAGAAGAAGACCATCCTCTCCCTATTCGAAGTGAATGGGTACAACAACAACAAAAAAAAAGAGGAAAAAAACTATACAATATATGATAGCAATGTATCATTCTTGTCCAAAGAAACACTTATGGTTTATAAAAATGGTGAATAACACCTATAAATAGTGTGTTAGGAATTAGGCAATTAATATCCTCAATCAAAACCTAATATGCAGAAATCTCTATAGCAATGAAATATTTGCAGTTCTTCTGGAAAGAGATTTAGAGCCATACCAGTTTCAAGTTGGTGTCACCAAAACTCCAACTACCCCAACACCCACTGAATCATCCTAAAAGCAATATCAGCAACAAGATATAATATTCGAGTCCTTAAATCCTTTATATGCTTAATAACTATATCAGATATCCATATAAACCCTAGATTTATCATATTCATAGCCCTAGATTTATCACACTCATCAGTTGATTCTAACAACTGTAAGTATAGATGACAAAGTTCCAACTTCTAGCAGCCCTGCAGAGGCAATCCAATCCAATATACAAATATGCTCCCTTCTTTTCATTATGCAATATTGTAACATCCGGAATCCCAGGTATATTATTGTAATATTTTATTTTTGGAAGTTGTGAAGGAACTCGACGAGTTGATGCTTAGACTCGCCGAGTAGGGTCGCGGTTTATTATCCGGGTTCGCATTGGACTCGGCGAGTCCATGAGTGGACTCAGCGCGTCCATACTATTTAATGAAACCCTAATCGTCCGGGGTTGGACCCTATTTAAGGGCACTCTTAGCCTTCCATTGTGGCTACTAGTCCCTTGAGATCACCTAAGTGAGATAGATCGTTTGGGAGGAAGGAGAAGCCATATTTGATCTTTCTATCTTTGGTTTAGAAAGAAGAAGGTGATCAAGAGCAAGAGGAGACTGAAGGAGGTGTGGTTCTAGTGGTTTCAGAGTTCAGAGACTTCAACTTGAGGTATTTATTCAGACCTTCTTCAGTTTTTGTATTGATACTTAGAGTTAGGGTTTTCTAACCTCCTTTGAGGATGTTTATGTGAAGCAATTGGTCCCTTATCGAGTTTATGCTTTGGATCTGGACTCAAAGAGGTCCAGAGACCTTAACCCTTAGAGATTTATGAGTTATCTTGGGAGTTATGAGCTTAGGATGCCATTTTTAGGGTTAAATCTCCAAATGATACCATCTAGATGATATATAAGTGTTAAGGTCTGGACTTTACATGATTATTATGCTTGGGAAGGACAGATCTATGGATTTGAGGAACAGATCTGACCTCAAGAGGTCAATGGAGTTTGTGCATGGCATGTACTCGCCGAGTTGTTCTTGAGACTCGGCGAGTTGAGTCGGGGTAGCCCTACGATTCTTACCTGGGGACTCGTCGAGTAAAGGGAGGGACTCGATGTGTTAAATGGGACTAAAGACTTAAGTGGACACAGGTGGACTCGCCGAGTTGCTCAAGTGCACTCGCCAAGTCTGGTCAAAGTTTGACCATTGACTTTGGTTGACTTTTAGGGTTTGATCAACAATGAGGGCCTTTGAGCCAAAGGAGGGGTAAAATGGTCTTTTACCCTATTGAGGGTTCTTAGAGAAAGTAGTGTCTAGTTCTGAGAGTTATATTTATGAGAGTATTACTTTATGTGTTTAGGCGGAGGCTAGATCGTATTTCTACCAAGTCAGTGATTTACCGGGACATCTGAGGTGAGTCTTCTCACTATACTTTATATAGAGTGGTAACTCGAGTTATGTGCCATAGTTATCGTATGCTATTATGTGATGTGTTATACTGCATTTTTCTATGTGGTTTATATCATGTTTATATCAGAGTATATCAGAGTTAGAACCGAAAGGTTCATAGAGTTAGGACCAGAGGGTCCACATAGTTAGGGCCCATGGGCCCATAGAGTTGTAGCCTCGAGTGGCTAGCAGTGTTATGTATGGTATTTTTGGGAACTCACTAAGCTTTATGCTTACAGTGTTATGTGTTATGTGTTTTGGGTACCAGTGATGATCGCAGGAAGGCGCCGGCATGACTCGTACACACGTATGGATTTTTATGCATTTGATCTTGGGAATATAATTTTGTGAACCACAATATTGAAACAATGGGATTTTGTTTTTAAATGTGTTTGATAAAATGTGTTTAAAAATGTGAAAATTTGTTTTAAATTTTACGGTGTTACAATTTGGTATTAGAGCCTTGGTTTGAGGGATTCGGATGCATCATCGGGCGTATCTGAACTCAAACTGAGGAACTGAGGAAAAATTTGATAATAAAGTAAATTTTTTTAAGAAAAGGAGTAAAAAGAGTTTTGAAACAGACAGAGCAGAACCGTGTGTACGATCAGCCAATGCCCGAACGGTGATTTCCCAAAATACCCTTACAATAAGTTGTAAAAGAAATGTTATGCTATGCTATATGAATTATATTATGCATGCTAGAGTAAGACTAGGTATTCTTATTAGGACTAGAGTGGCCTGATAAATGATGCCTTAGTCTAGGGATTTTGCTATTAGGAATGCTTAAGAGTGTTGAGATAGCAGTAAGGAGCTTATGAGAGATTTGCTAGTGAGTAGCACATGATTAGAGAGAATAGCGTACTTGGGATTTGGGGCTCTGGGAGGAGGACTTGGTGTGAATGCTGAGTCGGTGTGGTCGGTAGTATTGGGCCCGTACTATCGAAGGCACCGGGTCAGTACGCAACCCAAGTATTGGGCCCGTACTATCGAAGGCACTGAGTCGATGAGATTCCAGAGATGTTCGGGTCTATTATGACCACCCTGATAGAGACATTTGATGAGAGATACACTGCTCTTTCTGAGGCTGTTGTTGCTGCGGCCACTGCAGTTGTAGCTGCAGCTAGACCGCATGGCGGTGATGCATTGCTGTTCCGGGAGTTCAGCAACACAAAACCACCGGAGTTTGATGGGACCCAGGATCCGATTGCTGTGATGAGGTGAATATTAGACATGGAGGGATGTTTCTTTACGTGCTCGTCTCCTGAGCATTTGAGGGTCCGGTTCGTGTTGAACCAGCTTCGCTTGGGAGCGAAGGACTGGTGGAAGTTTGTGACGGCGCATTATTCGCCTGCTGAGCTTGCTGCAATGACTTGGGAGAGGTTCACTGCTATGTTCCGAGATGAGTATGTTCCCCAGGTGGAAAGGGAACGTTTAGCCCAAGAGTTTTTGACCCTCAAGCAGGGTACTGATTTTGTAACGGTGATTACAAGGAAGTTCCATGAGCGGGCGATGCTCTGCCCAGAGCACGTGTCCTCTGAGCAGGCACGTATGAGCCACTACTTGAGCATTTTGAGGAGGGATATACGGGATTTCGTGGCGAACTCGACGTATCGGACATTTGTTGAGCTTCAGGAAAATGCCCGGAAGAGGGAGAGAGAGCTGGAGACCCAGGCTAGGGAGGAGGCTGAGTCTCAGGCGAGGGATCGACGGTCGGCACCGTATCAGCCAGTAGCCAAGCAGGCCAAGCTCGCTGATTCGCGATCTGAGAGTCAAAAAGGCTGCACTTATGGCAAGTGCGGCAAGAGCCACGAGGGGGTGTGCAGAGCGGGGTCTTGCTACAAATGTGGCATGGAGGGGCATATGACCAGGGATTGCCCCAAGGGGTTTGCAGTATCCTTTCACTGCAACCAGACCGGACACCGCAAGGTAAAGTGTCTACAGTTATGAGGGACTACCGAGGGAGCACCTCAGGGGTCTGCCCCTGCTGCTATAAGAGCTACTGAGAGCTGGCCAATGAAGGCCGAGGTACCAAAGACACGAGGGAGAGCCTTCCAGTTGACCGCGGAGGAGGCCCGTGAAGCGCGCGATGTCGTGGCTAGTATGTATTCTTTCGTATATTTACTTTTATGTTGAGATGTTGTGCTTATATTATGACATGTGTAGGTGCTTTTCTTGTGAATTCTGTTCCTGCCTTGGTGTTATTTGACTCGGGTGCGAGTCGGTCTTTTGTATCTTTGGTTTTTAGTCAGCACATCAGTATTAGTTGAGAGGTGATGAGTCGACCTCTGAGAGTTTCCATAGCTGATGAGAGAGCAGTGTATGCCACCGAGGTGATTCGAGGATGTGTACTCGAGATTTTCGATGTCAAGTTCCCGATTGATCTAGTTCCTATTGCGATGGGAGATGTCCGTGTCATCGTGGGCATGGACTGGTTGAGTAAGTTTGGAGCGGTTATCGACTACGATAGATAGCTGGTGACCATACGAGATCCTAGTGGGGGAGTTCTTACCGTGTACGGCGAGGGTACGCGTTTATGGTCGACATTTTGTTCAGCCGCTAAAGCGAGGCAGAGTCTACAGCAGGGTTGTAAGGGGTTTGTAGCATATGTGATGGGTACGAGGGTTGATTCAGAGAGACCGAGGTCAATTGATGAGGTTCCGATAGTGCGTGAGTTCCCGGATGTATTTCCGGAAGAGTTACCGGGTGTGTCTCCCGAGAGGCAGGTTGAGTTCAGCATCGATTTGGTTCCAGGAGTTGCACCTATTGCCAAGGTACCTTATCGCCTTGCGCCTCCAGAGATGCAGGAGTTATCCTCGCAGCTTCAGGAGCTGCTAGGGAAGGGATTTATTTCGCCGAGCAGTTTAGCATGGGGAGCGCCTATCCTTTTTGTGAAGAAGAAGGATGGCTCACATCGAATGTGCATTGATTACAGGGAATTGAAAAAGCTGACGTTCAAGAACCATTATCCATCGTCGAGGATCGATGATTTGTTCGATCAGTTGCAGGGAGCAACTCGGTTCTCCAAGATCGATTTGAGGTCGGGTTATCATCAAGTGAGGGTGCGAGATGAGGACATCCAGAAGACAGCGTTCAGGACTCGTTACGGGCATTATGAGTTCGTGGTGATACCTTTTGGGCTCACCAACGCACCGACAGTGTTCATGGACCTCACGAATAGAGTATGTAGGCCGATGTTGGATCGCTCGGTGATCGTGTTTATTGAAGACATATTGGTGTATTCGAGATCCAAGGAACAGCATGAGGAACA